AAGAATAATCATGGCCAGACCTCCATTTATGCGGTGTGGCGAAATTGAACGACAGCTTTTTTTTCTCGCCTGCGCTGGGGAACATTGCGAAGCGATCGAGAGAGCTCATTTACGTTTCGTGAACTTGGCGGCAAAAACAGTTTTTTGTTTCTGTTAGGAGTGGCGTAAAGCTGCAGGCTTACAAACACTGCAACTTGGAATCGATACAGAAGTACACGGCTGATGCTAATATGGCCGGTATACGTGAGGGCATGTGCGAAAAAGGTGCATCATAATTGCTGCAATACGTACGTGTACCGCCAAAGTTACGTATGCTTGGTATATGCTAGATTAGCTTCTCTCCTTGCCATCGAATCAAGCGTTTTATATTCAACGACACCGAAACATACTACGGCACAAGCTACAATAACGTAGACGCTGCGCTGGTAGAAACAGTGCATGCTCCAGTATTCACCAGCGCTTGCCAGTGAAACTTCCAGTGCTTTCAGCGCTTTGCAGGACGCAACAGCATCACAGCGGTTGAGCCAGCGCCCCTGCCAGTGCGACGCAGCTTTTTCCCAGTGCGCCCAGCGAAGTGCCACTGATTACAAGCGTATACCAGTTCGAATAAACGTACTGGCATCACGCTGTTTTTGCACTAAGGCTGTGTTTATTTCCAGCCGCGCTCGTGTCTTGTACAAGAACCGCATGGATAAAACAAAATGTAAGTAAGATGCATACCCCGTCTATTCATCACGGTTGTTTTGTGAACGTTTCTACTAAATGAAAATAGAATACACAGATAGCCATCTTATTTGGGTGCCTCTAGTGTTGCATAATTAGGGCTGCTGCTTAACCAACAGTTGGCTTCTAGCAGCTGGTATTAGCTACCACGGGCTACTTCTCGACTAGTGCCTGATATTTCAGCAATTGGTAGCTATAGGCCACTGTAGGTTGCCGCTTGTACGTCTCTGGTGAGTGTAAGCAAGAGTTACGTGTTAGTGTTGCCTAGTCCTTCTCCAAAGTATAAGAGTGGCTACTGCCATCGCCTAATGCAAGTGATAATCATGAAGACCTTGCCGCAACTCTTGAATTGTCGTGGATGATACTGCATATGTACTTCAACGACACTTCGACTTGTAATTACTGACTGCGGTCGACTCCGCCGGAGTTTCCAGCATGACACAGCTAATGTTATTCATGACAGCGTAACATGACATGCTCGGCGGTCGACGGCCGCATGCGAACTGGGGGTAAATGGAACCTCCTAAAATACATGCTGGACGACTGCGAAACAAAAAACAACCAGAGTCATGCCATAGACCGGCTCCTACACTCGCACAAAAAGATGGGAGGAACAAACTCATCCTTTCTTGAAGAAATCTCCAAACGTCACCTCCCCTTAAACACAGCACAACCCACCGACTACCCAGAAATAGAATGCGAAACGATACCCGAACTCGACGAACCCTTCACGGAGTCAGAAATTCGGGAGGCATTACACAACCTCAACAGCAGATCAGCCCCCGGTCCTGACAAGGTAACCAACCGCCTGTTGCGAAATTTAGACGACCAAGCCATCACACTACTCACAAAAGACATTAATTACATGTGGGAAACTGGCCAGGTACCTGAACAATGGCGCACGGCCACGGTAATCCTTCTCTCAAAGCCAGGTAAACCACTCAACTTCGACAATCTACGCCCGATTTCCCTAACCTCATGCATAGGAAAAGCAGCTGAACATGTCATCCTAAATCGTGTATCGCGCTACATAGAGGATCACGAACTCTTTCCGTTCAACATGGTCGGGTTTCGTCCGCACCTTTCAACACAAGACGTCATGCTATTACTAAAGAAACAGATCTTCGACTCAAAAACGAGAGATGTTCGTGGCATTCTCGCCCTAGACCTCACTAAAGCATTCGACAGCGTCTCACACCGCTTTATACTGGAATCCATTGCCAGCCTTGGTCTCGGTAAAAGATTCCAGGCGTACATTCGTTCTTTTCTGCAAAATCGAACAGCTCAGCTGCATTTATCGCAACTTACATCCGATACTTACACATTAGGTTCCAACGGGACACCACAAGGGGCAGTCATTTCTCCACTCCTTTTTAACATAGTAATGAAGGGACTATCTGACAAACTCCGCGACATCCCAAACATAAACCATGCTATATACGCAGATGACATCACCATCTGGTGCCCAGGAGGCTCATTGGCGGAGTTGGAGCAAGCCCTTCAAACTGCTCTCGATACCACAGAAGCCTACTTAAAAAACACTGGACTTCGTTTGTCGCCCACAAAATCAGAGTTGCTACTGTACCGGCAATCTCGCCAAGGCGTTCGTAACTTAACACCCTTAGGTGATCTACCCATAGCGCTACACGCCAAAGATGGGCAGCGAATACCCCGAGTGGACTCCATACGCATTCTCGGCCTCCTCGTCGAGGCCACTGGCTGTCATGCAAGAACAATTAAACATATCACAGCAAAAACAGAGAACATGCTCCGACTCATTCAGCGAGTCTCGGGTCGTAGACGAGGCCTTGGAGAGGCCAACCTTCTGCGCATATACCACGCGTTCCTAATGAGTCACATCAATTACGTCGCCTCTGCCCACAACTGGACGAAGGTAGAAAAGACGAAACTAAACACACTCATGCGCAAAAGCATTAAACAAGTCCTTGGTTTGCCTCAAAACACGAGCACTTCCCGTCTCGACCAACTAGGCATGCACAACGGCATCGATGAAGTGATCGAGGCCCAGACCACGGCCCAAGTGATCCGCCTCTCCTCCTCCAAGGCAGGCCGCCGACTTCTAAGCGAGGCCGGCATGTCCCCACACCCCTGCCTTGAACGCGCAGTAACCCTCCCCAGAGTTGTCCGAGCTACTTACATGGTAACCCCATTTCCGCGAAATGTCCACCCACAACACAATGAAGGCAGACGGCTGGCCCGCGCTCGCGCGATCCTAAACCGTACCGCCGCGAATCGCAACTCTACCGCATTCGTCGACGCAGCGCAATACGGTAACTCCTCCTCTTTCGCACTCGCGGTAGTAGATGGCGACGGAGCCCTACGCTCAGCCGCCTCGGTTAGGCTATCAACAAGCGCCATAGCCGAACAAGTTGCTATAGCTTTAGCGATGACCGACCCCTCACTCACTAATGTCTTCACAGACTCTCGCGCCGCCATTCGGGCTTACGAAACCGGCAACATCGCTCCAGAAGCAGCCCGCATTTTACAAACACGGAAATATACGGGCTCGCACTACCTCTCTTGGTTCCCTGCCCACATGGGCAAAGACGTTCACCCACAACAACCCAACCTCAACGAAATGGCTCATGATCGAGCACGAGAACTGACCCGCCGTGACGATCAATCAGCCACCGAAGAGCTGGGCCCAGACGTGCAGTTTAATGACCCACTACTCACCTTCCATGAAATTACCTCCCACTACCGACACAACAGAAGCCGATACCCTTTACCCCATTCAAAACTAGAACGCGCGCAAGAAGTAGCCTTTAGAATGTTACAAACGAGATCGTACCCATCACGGGGCCGACTCAGCCATTATAACTCAGACATAAATTCACAGTGCCCAGATTGCACAGAAGTGTACTGTTCACTCGCGCACATGCTCTGGCAATGTCCCGCGTTACCTCAGGGACCTCTCACCAGTGAGTCCGACTGGGAGGAGGCACTCAGGAGCCCCAATCTCCGAAACCAACTTAAGGCAGTCCAGAGGGCCCAAGAACTGGCGGAACGCCACCACGTTCCCGCCCCGACTCGGGCGTCGCCTACGGTAGCGGCTGCTAGGATGTCCCACGTGGGCACCCTGGTGGCTTAAACTCCTCAGGACCATATATTAAAGTTCTTGACTGACTGACAGCGTAACCAAACGCGCTCTGTTTAAGAATAAAACAAATATCTTGCTTGCAACCTGAGTTCCAACGTTGCGTCGGAGAGGGCTCCTTAGGCATAGCAGCACTGTGGACATGTCTCGTACTTACCCATTAAGAACCCATTATGCAGCATACATGAACATGGGTATCTACTTTGTAAAGCTTATTCCTGAAGTGAGCATTGCGGCATATACAGCTCGACTAAAGCAATCTCACGCAAAGCATAGACTCCCGCAGTGTGTGAACAATTGCGGACAATTGTTTAGTGATTTGTTTAGAGCACTTATGAGCTAACTACGTGCAGCATCATAGAGCTCACCGCATGTAGTCAGGGCTCAATAAGCACGTCCATTACTGATTCCCATCTTGTTTATTAAGCTGCTTTTTCTTAAGCGCCTCTCAAACACTCTTGCGCAGTAGTGTAAAGAATGCATAGGTTCACTCTGCATGCAAACAAAAAAATAGTATCATGAATGACTTTTAGTCACCATAACAGTGTGTATTTAGTGACACTCAAAGTAATAATCAACCTCATTGAATATTTTTAATGAGGACCATTGGGAACAAGCACAAATAAAATAAATGTAGTATGCTAGCTAGTGCGATGAATTATTAGCGTTTTGGAAAGATGTATTGACAGGAGTCTTTGAAAGTAAGTTCGCCGAGTCATTATTTATGATCATGCATGAGATAACCCAGTTGTCAAAACAGCTCTTCGTTCGTAAATAAAATATAAGCGTTTTATTGAGTTGTGGACTGGCAGATGCAAATAATTCTCATTTCTAGAGTTGGTTGCGTGCCTCGTGCTTTTTTTTAAATCTCCTTAAAATCCAATCTTCAAGAATATAGGCAAATGGCTTTTTAAGGCGAAGATGCAAAGAGAACAATAATGGTCTCTCGAAATTGTGGCAACGTGGCAGCTATTGCGCATTAAATATTACTGAAACCTATCCAGAAAACCATATTCTTGACATAACAAGGTTTAAAGCTTTAATATAAATTGTCGGAAGTAGTCATGATCCCCAGTGAATAAGATTATAATGACAGTAATATAAAGCAGCCGCCGTTCAGACCCTGCTTACTCTGTACGTGCACGTAATTTATTCGTACCTTTGTAAAAGAGAGTCATCCGCTCCTTGTGTTCTTTATCAAATACTCCATGTATTCGAAAGTCACATCTGCCAAGAAGAGACATACGAGTGTGATATGAAGATTGGTAGAGGGAACAGAAAACTTACCTACTTCCTCTAATGAACATGGATCTCTTGAATGTAATTGACATAGGTTTAATAGACAGAAGGTGGTCTACCTCGCACTTGATTGGTGCTCTGTTAGTGGTTTTGTACGTCCATAGTAGCTCAAACTGGTTGACGAACTGAAATATCAAGAAGTCATTTTCGAGTGTATATTATTATCTAGGCTCCCTTATATTAAGCCACGTCACGCTGGCAGGATGTTTTTGCACGCACAAGTCACATGATACTGTAGTCCTAAGCCAAATGATGCCCCATGAAAACTGTTGTGTTATAGTTCGAGCATTCATGGGCATTCATCAATTTTCCTACAGCCCCGCCGTGGCAGTCTAGTGGCCAAGGTACTCGTCTGCTGACCCGCAGGTCGCGGGATCGAATTCCGGCTGTGGCGGCTGCATTTCCGATGGAAGCGGAATTGTTATAGGCCCGTGTGCTCAGGTTTGCGTGCACGTTAAAGAACCTCAGGTGGTCGAAATTTCCGGACCCCTCCACTACGGCGTCTCTGATAATCATATGGTGTTTTTGGCACGTTAAACCCCAGAAATCGATCAATCAATCTCTTTTCCTACAGTGATCTATAAAGGCCAATCAAGCTCCCGAATACTAGGCTACACACGCACTACTACAGCCCCTAAAGTACTGAAACTGGCATTAAATGCAATGATCATTTGCACATGACCTTTTTGTGATATGTTGCAAATTATTACAATTTAATAACCCACACAGTTTTCATAGCTGCCGAAATGATTTGAGTTTCAATGTATCACACCAAGCTTTGCTGTAAGATTGCAAATGGTGGAGAACGTTCTTTCAACAATCGTTACACCACAGAATATACCTATAGCTCGTTAACCTAAAAAAATGTGGGTTTTGTGCCGCAATTCTGGTTTGTCTAAATATGTTTCTCTAAATATGTTTTCGCAATATGTTTCTCTAAATGCTGGCCTGCCACTATGAAACCTGCTGAAGTGCCCATCATGAGAGCCGTGCGGTTCCTTATTTTAGGGTAACTATGGGTCCGTTTACAAGGCCTTTGGTCTCGACAATCTTTCAGGTAAACACGTTTAGTTAACCCGAGACGAGTACGGACTATGTTCGTTCACAAAAATGATATGCACCATGCGCGCTACATTTTGCGGCCCTTTATCGACAACCTGGCCTAACTGCTACTGCAGTTTGTATACGTGTCGCCTACGGAGAGTTCTGTCAGGTTCTTTCACCTCATAGATAGTGCAACGATAGTGCCGGAGAAAGGGAGTGAGAGAAGCAATCTTGCTCTTGGGGTGGCAGTGGCGCCACCTCTTGCGCTGCGCGGGAATCAGGCGCGTTTCTTGCGAATTGTTGTAGGAATTTTAGGTTAAGGTTGTGATTATTTCCAGATTAATGATTAGATACTGCTTTAATTATTGTTGGTTTACTTTGACTCGGTTTCGAGAGTCGCTGGCCTCGTTTTGGGCTTTCTTGATTATTTGATACTGAGTCGGATCACTTCAGTCAAGATCTATGGGTTTACGACAAGCCGGACTCCTAAGATGCTATATATTTGAAGAGATATTGCACTGATAGTTGGAAAGCGTGCTGTATTTACCAGAAGCCGTTTCAGCACTGAAAGTGCTCTTGGGCGAGCATGACGACACACTCTGCGTCACGTACCACGGTCTGGTTCCGAGATGCACGTTACCACATTACTTATACACTACTTTCTTCGCGGTTGGAGTGGCGGGGTGTTCAAATAAAACATGGCTAACTACTTTTTTTAGGAATACGTATAACCCAAAAATGAAACTTGTCTCCACAAGGGTAGTTCAGCGTTTAAAGCAGTGAATGCTTCTGCAACAAAGTGTATTGCGAGGAACGACAAACATCTCAAAACAGCCCACATAAATTGAGGACAAACAGGACGAGCGCGTACATACAAATATAACAGCTTTAAGCTTAAAGCACGCTGCCTAAATAGAGAGCAGGACTTACGAAACGTATGCACAAGTACACAAAGAATGAGCGTGAGCAATAGCCACACATCCTATTTCGTGTGTAGTAGCGCACACGTTTCCTGAAGACACCCACAGATTCGAGGGCAGTCATATTGATCACTTTAAATTTGAAGCGAGCGAAGCCTCATTAACCACTGTGACTATAAAGGAAACTTGTGGTTGAATCGCAAGAGGTGCAAAACGCTCGAATCCCGAGATAGGCGCGCGCGTGAGTGAGTCACCATGCCAGGAAACATCTGTACGCACTGTGACCACACCATGAAGAGGCGCGCGCACTTAGCGACCCGTGGCAAGGCACGGGGTGAAGACCATTAGAGCACACGTGCCCAAAGCGTGCTCTTCGCGCCATCTCGCTACTGATTACGAAAGCGTGCAGAAGTGAAGGAGCTCGGAAAACGGCCAATGGTACATGGTGAGTATAAATGCCTCGCTGTTAACAAGCCCAGCAACGGACAGTGTGTGATTTATTTCTTGGTTATTGCCGCGTGCTGTGGAGCGAAAGATCACTGGTTTGACGCATCGCTAAAGTGCTTCTACGTCTTGTTGTTTTTCTTTGCAATTTTCAAATATTTATTTTAAAACGCCATAACCGTGACGAAGATACGTCTGTGGAGCCGGGTTGAACGCCGGCATAAGAAACTTTTCTTTGAAAAGTCCACTCATATACACGATGTGAATGGTGACGAGTACATGAAGCCTTGGTAGGAGAAGAACCGTACGATACCCGAGCGTTGCCCCACTAAGTGACATAAAGTGTATATAGAAATGTCAATGCACAGAAGCGTATGCCTTGAATAACGCGTCATCTTACTGGTGGTAACGTAACATTTTAAAGTGTGTAAATAGTTTCGAAATGCAGTACTCTACATGAGCAATTGTGTTGCAGCCTACCTTCAGAAGTGTCAAATCTAGGCATATCTTAGTGGAGAACTCATCAATACATGTCTTCATAGGTTATTTTCACTATGAACGTCGATTTTTATGGTTAAAACCTATGTCTATCTTGGAGTCTATAGTACGGGAGTGCTTTCGTAGTATGGTATGCACTGCGCTAACTGGAATTAAACGGTAGGAGCAGCATGAACGAACAGTGGCGGCGAGGCAGCAGAGCGCTTCAAGGCTCCCGCGTACGTTGTCTCCCAGCGGTATTCAGCAGGAGCTGGGGCAGCTGTAGCAGGACGCAAGGTGTCTCTTAGGGCCTGGTGCAGCTGATTATTCATCTCAATCACAATCGAACTAGGCGTGGAATGATGTGTTAAACCGGTCTTTTTCAAATCCTCAATCACTACAGAACGAATGAGTTCGCGTAGGCAGTCACTGCTGTCTTCCAGTGGCGATAGCACTGTCAGCAGAAGACATGACACTCAGTTGCCTCTCGCATAGGTTGCACTGCTTCTGCAGCATGTTTTCTATTGTCACGACTTCACACGAGAACTCCGTGACCGTCTTCGGAGGGCCCCACACGAGGCCGGCAACAAACTGATCCTTGACGCTGCGCATTGATCCCGCAACTTCCTGTCCTCCGCCATTCCTAGGTCGGCTCGTGGGAAAGGCATGTCATACCTTCGATCTACGTGGTCACAGTTTGGTTTCGCAACTGGACGCGAGCCAGAATAGCTCGTTCCGCTAAATCTTGGCGATAAGCGCTGGCGCAGGTATGCAGACGTCACACTGCTAAAACTTTCACACCCAAAAACTTGTAAAACGGGTGTACGCATTAAAAGCACCCTTCTAAATGCATTTTTAGTCTCATTTTAAAATTGACAGTGTTCGTAAATAAAACACTCTTGAAACACCCCGTTTACACCCTTACCTCAAAGGCGTTACGAACAACATTACGAATGCATGACATTTTCGGGCCCTTTTGCATATAATATAAGTATACCTTAACCATCTTCATACCATCAAAGCTCCTAACTTGTAGCTGCTTGCGGGTCTAGTAATTAATCGAAGGAGGACGTAAAATATTGCTACCGAAACACAGTGTTCATCGATAAAGCGCCCGAACTACAAGGACAAAAGACACACAGGACTAGCCGTTGCCTCCGGCACGTCTCTCCTTTTGTTGTTTTGTTAAGTCCGCCTCATTTTATCAAGTATATTCATACATGGAACTGCCATCGTTTCAAGACAGTTTTCTCTGTTTCACCCCATCACGCGGGTGTAGGTTGACCTAACACTGATAGTTTAAAGGTGTTCATAAATACCCATAAAAGTAGGGTGTCACTGTTTTCGTACACGCTACATTTATAGGGTATTCTAAACACTCTAAGAGAGTGTTTCCATGAGACAAAATTACACTCTTAAGGGGGTAAAAACATTTGCAGTGTGGTCTTTTTAGCCTATGGTGGTTTGACGTCGTGCTTTCCTTGCCGGTTGGCGAGGTTTTCACCGAAGCGCTGGTGATATTTCTTGACATGGGGCGAAGAGTATTGTCGACTTTCGGAAGTTTTGCCTATTTACGGTGGCTGGCCTGATGCAAGGGGTTGTTTTCTGGTACTGAAGCCGTAGAGCGTCTCCCTAAAGGGGTTTGCCACCTCCATGAGGCTACCCCACAACTCCACTAGTTTGTCACTAGGCTTCAGAAGTACTAGGGGGTTTATTAGGCCACCGAGTGGCTAGCTTCTGAACAACGCATCCATTGCGGCTGGCTCTCGAGTAGAGAAAAAACACGAGGTCTTCTTCATGGGGATAGCCACTCTTGCCCTCAACCCACTGCGTGCGGATGGCAGTATGTTATATAAATACTTTGCAAAACAACATAAGGTTGTGGTCTTGTGGCGTGAGTTGCACGTTGGTTTTGTCTTTTTCTTCTTTGAAGTTTTTGTACACAATTTGAAACGACATATCTATGACAGAAATACATTAGCGCATTCATGATGGGCTCCAGCAGGAACACTATCGTGTCCCAATGGTCTAGAAAGGTCACTCTACCAACTTTCACTGTGACTGGGCTCTCCATAGCGCGCAAGCCAGGTGGTTTTTATTTTCTTCATTTCTGAATTTCTCAGTAATGTTCCTGAGTTGCATTGATTGCGAAGATAGCAGAATCAGTACTATAGCCTGACATCAGCTTGACATCACGCTAATATTCACATGGATACAATGCTAGTTCTGCTGTCTTCATG